AAAAGCTCATTGATATAATTTTAGATTCCACATTGCAACTAAACTTAAAAAAAAAAAAAAACCACCATTTTCAAATTTTGGTGAGGTATGCAAGGAGAATATCCACAATTATCTGAGATGACTATTAAAATATTCCTGTCTTTTCCAACTGCATATCTGTGTGAGGCTGGAGTTTTCTTCATATACTTCAGCCAAGACAACATTGCACCAGACTGAATACAAAAACATAAGAGGATCCAGCTGTCTTCTTTTAAAGTCTGACAATAAAGAGATTTGCAAAAATGTAAAACAATGCCACTCTTGTTAGATAACTTTTTTGCTTGGAAAAGGTTGGCTGTTGTTTTTTATAAAAATATGCTATCTGTTTTAACATGTAATCAATTTACTGGTATTTTTAAAAATATATTTTTAAAACTTATGTTTTAATTGTAAATATGATAAATATTGACAAATATAACCCACGTGTTAAATAAAAAGCTCACTGGGATCCTCAATAATTTGTAAGAGCGTAAAGTAGGTACTGAGACAAAAACATTTGAAAACTGCATTTCCAACAAACTGAAGTATTCTAAGGAAAGGAAAAACAAAGTTGGGTGACAGGGTGAATTCACATCACTTACAGCAAAAAGGCCTCATTCACAGCCTCAAAGAACTCCGGCCAGAGCATTTCCTGAAGTTCACATCCATGGCAGGTGAGTAGAGCTTCCACCAGGGGTTTGAAATCTGGCAGAGTGACTAGTGGGATACAAACTTGTGATAGGGACCTTATGCGTTCAGGAGCCATTCTATGGAATAAAATAGGAAAGAATTACCCAAATCTTAGAGCCACATGTAATTAACGACATAAAATCTTCACACTAAAAAAGTTGATGACCAGTCACTTGTTCTGTCCCTCACATAAGGAGGCTACTCTAATACTATCTATGAATGCTCTTCTCTTACTCAGTTCTCTAGGAAGAAACCCTTTAGCGGCAGTTCCCATTTTAAAATCTCTCATTGTCAGGACTTTGCCATAAGTAACTATGGGCATCTCCAACTTGTGTGTTATGTGCCGTTGAGTTGGCTCTGACTCCTGGGGACACGGTGGACATCCCTCATTCATGAGCAATCCTGCTCAGCTCCTATTTTGGAGCCAACCCATCTTGTGTTTAGTCTTCCTCTCTTCCTGCTGCCTCCTGTTTTTTCCAGCAGTATCTTTCCCAAAGAACCAACGCTGCCTTCTCATGATGTGCCTGAAGGGCAGCACAGTTTTGTCATTTTTGCCTCTAGCGATGTTTCAGGCTTAATTTGCTTTAGTATCCATGTATTTGTCTCCAGTTTACCACGCTCAAAACAGAACTCCTGAATTCCTTCTCCAAACATCCTCACCCATGCTCACTATCTCACTTGCTCAAGCCCAAACCTTTGAAGTCCATTCTTGATTGCTCCCTCCTTTCTCTTATGCCCCTTATCTGATCCAGCAATAAATACTGTCATTTCATCTGACCACCTCTCAGCACTTCCATCACTACCCCTTAATTCACCATCACCTCCAGCCTGGGTTACTCTGGGAGCCTCCTGACTTTCTCCCTCTTTCTGTCCTCGCCCCCACTGTTTATCATCAGAACAGTTCCCGCAACTCTTTAAAAATTCACATCACTTCATTTGCATGCTCAAAGCCTTGCAATGGCTTCCCATCTCACACAGAGAACAAGTCTTATCCTAAGCACCAAGGCCTTCCATGCTGGGGCCCCCTTCTGTTTCTCTGGCCTCATTTCCTCCTCCTCTTATCCTTGCCTGTTCTGTTCTAGCTTTACAGGCTTCCAGCTACACCAGATAAGGTCCTGTTCACTCTGCACGTAACACATGGCTAGCTCCTTCCCTCCATATAGGTCTCCCCTCCCTTTATGTGAGGGCCTCCCTGACCATCCCATATATTGGGTTGTCGGAAAAGTCATGACATATTTTTGCTATGTTTTTTGTTGCAAAAATGCATCATGACTTTTCCGACAACATAATACATGCACTGACCAATACGGTAGCAATCAGCCAATGTGGCAACTTAAATGTATTTAAATGAAATAAAAGTTAAAATGCCATTCCTCAGTTGCACTGGTCATATATCAAGTGTTCAACAGTTAACATGAGGCTAGTAGCTTACAGTACTGGACAGTGCAGATTTACAAGATTTGTCCTTTACTACAGAAAGCTCCACTGGACAGCAGAATTTAATATATCAAGTACCTCCCACCCCACTGTGTATGTCCTCTCTCTCTTCCCGTTTTACTTTTCTTCTGAGTACTATAATGTATTTACTTGTTTATTGTTCATGTTCTGTTTCTTCCTGCTAGGATTTCAGCTCTGTAAAGGACAAGCATTTGTTTCTGTTTTGCTCACTGCTCTATTCCTAGCACATTGAGACAATTCCTTACACATGCTACGTGCTCAAGGAATTGATGTTAAATAAAAAATGAGCAACTAGAAATCAGTAAAATGGAAGTTTGAAATGTATGCTAGATGTTTTTCTAGGTATTTTCATATGTAATCATAAATCTAGACATTTAGTCCTATGCTTTGTGAAACACAGATGGAATCACAATATAGAACATATAGATGTCCCTCAATTTTTTTTTACTTGCTGCCTATTGTTAAAAACTACATGAGTGCTGTAATGTAACAATGCCTCTATTTGTGGGCACTGAGGTTGTTCCTAGTTGTTTACTGTTATACACACTGCTGCAGCAGTATCCTAGTACATGCCAATCTATGCCCAATGTATCTGCATATTCAATTGCATCCCAAAAGACTACAGTTTACTTTCCCACTCTTGCCAGTGATACTATTATCACTGTAATTTATTTCAAATCTGGACAAAAATTATCCCATTGTTTTCATTTACATTTTCCTGATAACTTTTGAGATTGAGTATTTGTTACCCACTTGTATTTCCTCTTCAGTGAATTTGTTTTTAAATATCAGTCCTATTCATCCAATAAATATTTTGTGAACCCTGACTATAATCAAGGCTGCTTGCAGTGTTTGAAACACAAAAGCATAGACAAAGCCCAGTAATGGAGAGAATAAAATGCCAGATGATATCAAGTGCCATGATGAAAGTAAAGCGCACTGAAGGGTTAAGGAGGGAAGCGGGGAACATCTGAACAGAGATCTAAAGGAGTGTATGAACACATCATGGTTGTACCTGGGAGGAAAATGTTGCTGCAGATACAAAGCCAATGCAAAGGTCCTGAGTATTTGGATACAGCAAGCAGGCCAAGGCGGAGATGACAGTGTGGGCAGGGAGGAGGAAGTCAGGCTTTTGTAGACTACTATAAGAGCCTGGGACATTCTTTTTTTTTTTTTTAACTTGCTTTTAACTTTTTCATTTTTGTCAAACTTACAGATGCAACTGCCTTAAATAATCAACTAGCTCTTTAAGCTTTTGAAAAACAGTAGCTTTTGCAAGAGCACTCCCACTCCCATTTTCTGATCTCAGAGGAAACCACTTTCAAGCCTAACTCATTCTTTACATATTCAGTGTATTGTTTTTCCTGGGTTTAATGACTTATTTGGCTTGTTTGCTCATTTTTCTTTGCACTGATTATTTTAACCCCAAACTCCCACCCAAGTGTATAATCTCCTTGAAATATATTTTGACATTTCTGACATTCTATCATTTTCACCTTCCTGAAGAAATTTTTCTTAGAACCTTTTCGCCTGTTCCAATCTGACAGGCTGCTTTTTGCTCCCTCTGAATAGTTATCATCTTGGGATCTCCATCCTGGGAATTTCCTTCACTTCTCTCCTGGATCCCATATCTTTCTTTCTTTTTTTCAGCTGAGCCATTCTGTCACCTGTTGGCAGCTCAGCTCAGGCCAGCAATTGAACCAGCGACCCTGTTGCTCAGTGCTCGCACTCTTGAGCAAGCTCTTAACCAACTGAGTCACTTGGCCGGCCCCTCAGGATCCCATATCTTCTCTCTTGGTTCATTCTCCTTATGTAGAAAAAAGTACATGAGGTAAAGTATTTGAGACTTTGCATGTCTGAAAATATCTTTATTTTACTCTTACACTTGATTGGTACTTTGCTTGAGTATAGGATTCTGGTGATATTTGTACAGAACTGTGCAAGTGTGGTTCTACCGTCTTTCAGCTTCCAGGGTTGTTCTTGAGAAGTCCCATGCTATTATGAATTCTGATCCTGTTTTTAGTCCATGGAGGTTTTTGAATATCCTCTTTGAAATTTCATAATGATGTGTCTTGGTATGGATTTATTTTTATTCATTGTGCTGGGCACTCAGTGGACTTCAAATTAGGAAAGTTATCTTGAATTATTTCTTTAAGATGATTTCCTACCCCTTCTTTTCTCTGTTCCCTCTTTCTGAAAACTCCAATTTTCTGGATATTGAACTTCCTGGGCAGCTCACTGTCTTTTCTTTTTTTATTTTTCATCTCTTGGTCTACCTTTTGCTCTAGATTTTGAAAGAACTGTTCAACTTTATTTTCCAATCCTTTTATTATGCTTTTCATTACCATTCTCTTATTATTAATTTCCAAAAACATGGTTTCATTCTATGCATGTTCCTTATCTTAAAACATAGCACTCTGTCCTTATTTAGCGGATATAATATTACCTTTTATTTTCATGGGGACATTGGCATTAATTTGAGACTTTCTTTTCTTTGATTAATCTTTTTATTTTTATTGGTTTCTACTTTTTTAATGTTACATGCTTAATATGATTTCCTTAAATATCTGGTGACTACTGCCTGCCAGCTTATATTTAAGAGTCAGGCACCAAAAAGCTAGTGGGAACACTATGTGCATGGGTGGGACAATCTTCACTATAGGGCAGCAGTTTTTCAACTTTTTTTGGTTTCAGAATACTGTTAAACTCTTAAAAATTACTGAGAACATCAAAGAGCTTTGTTTCTGAGGTTATAACTACCGATATTTATCACATTTGAAATGAAGAGACACATAAAATATTAACTCATTAAAAAAAATGATAAACCCATAAGACATTAAAATAACATTTTTTTGTTAAACAATGACTATATTTTACAAAACAAAAAATATTTAGTGAGAAGAGTGACACTGTTTTACATGTTTGTAAATCTCTTTACTGCCTGAAAGAAGACAGCTGGATTCTAGACTTTACTTCTGTTGTTCTGTTTCAAGTATATGAAGAGAGTCTAGCCCCACACAATATGTAGTTTTAAAAGGCAGGAGTATTTTATAGCCTCTTCATTTATTGTGCATATTTTCCTTTGATTCTACACCAAAACTCATCACCATTGCCCAGCCTGGTTCCTATAAGCCTGTCTAGGAAAGCAGACAGACCTGCCTGCCATGCTTCTAGGGACTTGGTGATGGGTAGTCTCTACCATGGTAACAGCTGAAATTAACCATAATTTACTGGCCAAGCTTTTCCCCTGAAAGCTGCAGGTCTTCAAATAGCTACAAAGTTAAAAAATAGTTACATCAGACAGATTCTGTCAGTAAAATTTTTGTCAAGGTGAAGAGATGGATTCCTGGCACTTCCTACTCCACCATCTTCCCTGGTGTCCCCATTTGATCTCTTGTATAAAAAAGGAAAAAAACTTTTCTTACTTCCCATTTCTTTGTCCCATTTTATTATATCCTAGGAGATCTACTTGCCTCAATCTTTGAAGTCATTATTTGCTATTCAGCTATATGTCCTATTCAGGCTGTTTACTGAATTTTCTTTTCCCATAAGCCCCCTCTTTTTAAAAAAATGACAAAAAAACCACTTATTCCCATTTCAAGGATTTGATAGTTCCTCT